ATATACATATACATATACATATACATATACATATACATATACATATACATATACATATACATATACATATACATATACATATACATATACATATACATATACATATACATATACATATACATATACATATACATATACATATACATATACATATACATATACATATACATATACATATACATATACATATACATATACATATACATATACATATACATATACATATACATATACATATACATATACATATACATATACATATACATATACATATACATATACATATACATATACATATACATATACATATACATATACATATACATATACATATACATATACATATACATATACATATACATATACATATACATATACATATACATATACATATACATATACATATACATATACATATACATATACATATACATATACATATACATATACATATACATATACATATACATATACATATACATATACATATACATATACATATACATATACATATACATATACATATACATATACATATACATATACATATACATATACATATACATATACATATACATATACATATACATATACATATACATATACATATACATATACATATACATATACATATACATATACATATACATATACATATACATATACATATACATATACATATACATATACATATACATATACATATACATATACATATACATATACATATACATATACATATACATATACATATACATATACATATACATATACATATACATATACATATACATATACATATACATATACATATACATATACATATACATATACATATACATATACATATACATATACATATACATATACATATACATATACATATACATATACATATACATATACATATACATATACATATACATATACATATACATATACATATACATATACATATACATATACATATACATATACATATACATATACATATACATATACATATACATATACATATACATATACATATACATATACATATACATATACATATACATATACATATACATATACATATACATATACATATACATATACATATACATATACATATACATATACATATACATATACATATACATATACATATACATATACATATACATATACATATACATATACATATACATATACATATACATATACATATACATATACATATACATATACATATACATATACATATACATATACATATACATATACATATACATATACATATACATATACATATACATATACATATACATATACATATACATATACATATACATATACATATACATATACATATACATATACATATACATATACATATACATATACATATACATATACATATACATATACATATACATATACATATACATATACATATACATATACATATACATATACATATACATATACATATACATATACATATACATATACATATACATATACATATACATATACATATACATATACATATACATATACATATACATATACATATACATATACATATACATATACATATACATATACATATACATATACATATACATATACATATACATATACATATACATATACATATACATATACATATATATATATATATATATATATATATATATATATATATATATATATATATACCTACCTACATACATATACATATACATATATATAACATACATACATACATTAGCATACGCTGTATATGAGCTTATATATAAAAATACAACACACACACACACACACACACACACACACACACACACACACACACACACACACACACACACACACACACACACACACACACACACACACACAATGAATATATGCATACGCAATCTATCTACAATCATCCATGATATTACGACACAAGAATGCAATGAAAGGAAGTATCAATTCCATAAGGTTCTTTTTCGTGCAAAGCTCAATACAATATCCGGAGCATCAATAGAACGCAGTCAATTAAACCCTCCGGAAGTACCTGGCAACTTGTACGGAGTCGCCCGCGCCTCACCCACAGTGACGTCATTCACCACGTTACCAAAAGAGTATTCTATAATGTTTGTTATTTTTTCCTTGGGTGTGTTTTTATCTAGTTCTGGTTTTCAGTCTATGTTGACAATGAAGATCTGGTATATGATAAATATGAATGCATCTTCATGTGAGGATCTGAAATTTAAAACATATGGTAACCCGGTTTTACAAGTAACATATACTATCTCCCACAAAGAAGAGAGAAAAAAGTGTAACTTTGTCCCAGCGAATCTATTTATGAATCAAATTTGAACAAAAAGAATTATGACGCGTAACTCGTTTACCCAGCTACAGGATTTGCATATTCAAATGTTCTGGTGGTATGGATTACGTGGTCACAATACCATACTGTGTGACTTCCACCCCGTCGATTAATATTTCATCGTAACATAACAAAGGA